GTTTAACGCTATTTATGACTATATAACTACTAATCTTAAGGTATTCGATTGTACAAGGATAGTCTACATTAAAAATGAATCTGAATTGTTAAGATCTAGAATGTAATTCAGCGATTAACATACATTCAAATACCTGAGATAAAACATTCCTAACCGAATTTATTAAAAGTTATCGATTAGCAGAAATAAGATTCACTTATTAATGAAATCTGAGACCAATCTCCAAAAACGGTGCACGTTGACGTGACTTTAGCTAACTAGCTTGATCTCAAGACTTCCAAAGCATTTAGCTATGAGTATGTCTCTGATGAAAATTAGATTCGTTAAAAGAACGTGTCAGAAAATCTAACATGCTACAATAATTACTGCAAGAATAACTCAGATATACTAGAGTAGTACTAAGACCGAACAGTTAATTGCAGATCTCGACTGAAACGATTTATTCGAGCATAACGAATCAGTCATAAATTTGCAGGGGCAAATATTACTTACTTACTAACACCTGTCAACTCTCGTGGAGAAGCATAAGCCACCCACCAGCATTCTTCATCCAATTTTGCCCTGGACAATCCTTTCCAGTTGCTATTCATCCTATTCATGTCTGCTTCCAATTCTCGGCGCAGTGTGTTATTTGGTCTTCCTTTTTACGTTTCCCTTCAGCATTAACAGTTAGTGCTCGATGCAGTTTGATTATTTCCTCAATGTGTGTTTTACCCACTTCCAACATTTTTTCCTAATTTCCTCTTGCACCTGTACTTTTTGATGATAGTTGTAGTAGTTCTCCACGTTTCCGCTTCGTACATTAGAACTGTCTTGATGTTCGTATTGAAGATTCTCACTTTGATATTGCTTGACAGTTGTTTTGAGTTTCGTATGTTCTTCGATTTTTGGAATGAGGCCCTTGCCTTAGCGATCTTTGCCTTCACATTTGCATCAGATCCTCCTTGTCAAAAGATGAAGATGACCACATGCGTGAGTTCCCACATCTTACAGAGTTTCTCCAAGTGTGAGAGTTGGCGCTCTCAATGTTGTATTTGAGGATCTTGCCTTTTCCCTTGTGTATGCTGAGGCCTACTGATGTAGAAGCTGCTGCTAAACTAGTTGTCTCGACCTGCATTTGTTGATGCGTATGGGATAGAAGGGTCAGGTCATCTGTGTAGTCCAAACCGTTTAGTTGCATCAAACCTATCCATTGTATTTCGTGCTTTACCTCACATATTCGAGGTTTTCATAATCCAGTCAACCACCAGAAGAAAGAGGGAGAGTAATCCGACTTGTCTCACTCTGGTCCTCACCTTGAATGCATCTGTCAGCTGTCGTCCATGCACGACTTTGCAGCGTAGTCTGTCGTATGAATTCTGGATGTTGACGATTTTATCAGGTACTCCATGTCGAAAAGGTTTCCATAATGTTGTCCTACCCACACTGTAAAACGCTTTCTCGTAGTCAAGGAAGTTGATGAATAGTGACATATTCCATTCGACTGATTGTTCAAAAATGATCCTTAGTGACGAGATTTGGTCTGTGCACGACCGATCCCTGTGGAATCCAGTCTGCTCATTCCCGAATTGGAAGTCTACAGCTCTTTTTATCCGGTTCAGCAACGCTCTGTTGAAAACGTTTCCTGGTAATGACAGTGGTGTGATGCCTCTCTAGTTCTCACATCTACCAGATCACGTTTCTTTGATGTCTTGTTGAGGTTTCCTTTCCAGTCCGTCGTCACACCTTCATACTCCCAAATCTTCCTGAATAGTGTGTGAAGCGTGATTGCGGATACTTGTATGTCTGACTTTGGTGCTTCGGCCAGCATATTGGCAGGTCCTGCTGATTTCTCACTCTTGATGGCCATACTGATTTCTTCGATCGTTGGTGGAGTGACATCTATAGGAAGGTCTGTAGGTGGTGCTTCGATATCCGATGTATCCAGTGAATCTTGTCTATTTAAGAGTTCCTCAAAGTGTTCCACGCATCTGTTCCTCTGCTCTTGAATCTCAGTGATTGACTTGCCTTCTGCGTCCACGACGGGTCGATCAGATTTACAATATTTTCCTGAGTTTCTTTGTTGTCATATAGTTGTTTTACGTTCCCTAGACTTTTTCCCGTCGTTGCTGCAGCCATGTCAGTCACTTGCTTAGTTCATGTTCCTCAAATGAATTAGGATGACACTAGGAGGTTGAAGCACCTCGAAACAGAGCTAGTTATAAACCATACTAGGAAAAACTGAAATTGATATATTCATCAAATATGTCGATTCACATAGGAACTATGTCACTCTTACTCTACCCTATGTAACAAATCCAACTATTACTAGCTACTTAAATGACACATCTTCGAGTAAGCACACTATTAAATGACAGCAGGATAAACTAACTACTAGTAAACATTTTAACGATATATAATTTTCTATTTCCAGGTAGATGAGAAAGAAGTTCTCTCTCTCACAAGTCTCTTATCTCAGTCTGGTGGTTTATTCTCCATTTGGATTGGACTTAACATGATGTCAGTCATAGAAGTGGTGGAACTGATTTTTCATCTTATTACAAAATGTAGACAATTTTCAAAGCGAAAACGACTTCGCCGAACTCAAAAAAAGCAGACAACATGCGACACACCAAAACCATTAACCAATGCGAGTAGTGAGACAGAAGTGGTACAGGATCAGATAACAAACCGAGGAATCAGAAAACAAACTGAGAAGTATAGAAAAGACGACATGACCATAAACAATGGTCCGATACAAATACACACCAGAAAACGATCTCCAAGCGCCCCCAATCAGATGGTATCTGGAAATATAACATTATATTTACCCCAAATTTGACACATCTCACAACTATTCACGATCAATCTAAACCTGTTGATTTTTTAAGATTCTAATATAACATTTCATCTAGTTTGAAAATGCTTGTAGTTGTATATATTATTCGTCTAACCTAAACAGCGAAAGAATTATCAGCGTTAAGGTTAAAAGATACGTTTTTAAGTTTGCGACAAGAATAATTTCGTATGGACATAAGTGATCAAGGAGGAAAAGCGGAAGCCAAAATATCCGGTAATGTGCACTTTCAGAGACTAATAACCAAGTCAGAACATATTAAAAAAAGTAACGATAATTTTAATAGCTGAATTCATGAATCGATCTAAGCTAGACCGTCCAGTGCTTCCAGGTTTTCAATAGTGGTAAGGCTTAGAACGACTCATGAATCCAACCACTAAAATTACTATAATCCCCTTTCTGAAAATAATAAGTACTTATTAAATAGAAATTTTTAAATATTATTGCGTGAAACTATATGCACATGCATGTATATCCTTAGACTAATAAGACCAATGTGGGACTTGTATACCAGCCCTATGATGTTACGTAATATACCACTAAAGCAAATGGAGACTGACTATAGTAAATAATGAAGTATGTTGTAAACTAAAACCGATAGCGGTTTCTTAATTATTGGTAATAGCTTTGCTGATACCAAACGTGAATTATACAAACCAACTATTAGTGTTTTCACGAACAAACATTACATTTAGTTAGTTCATATCACTTTCTACTGCACTACCAATCATTCTAGAAATTAGTAAATGATTGATTTGGTTAGCTTCAATATCTGTAAGACACGATTTACAATATCGGACAAAGAATAAGATTTAGAATGCTATATGAATCCGCAACAGATTTATAAATTGTCTATCCAAAATCGATTTAAAATTATTTGAATGCCTTCGTTGATATTTTGACACAAAATTGGTATACTTTGGTCGGTTTCCCATGCGGATTGGCCCTATATAACCACCACGTGGGTGGTGTGATGGCGTTTGAAGCGAGCGGCACTGAATTCAAGTACCGAAGTGAATATCGACTCTGGAATACAGGTACAACCTGATGATGAGACCAAAATAGGGCCATGGATTCTGTCAACAGTCACATTCTATATATTCTGTGTTATCCGATCACGAGTCTAATGATATAAAAAACCAGAGGCTCGACTAATAACAGCTCAATCAACACTTATGTTTTCTGTAAAACATAATTACATCATTTTGCCTATGCTCTATAACTTTCTAACCACTTATCATGAGATAAAATCTGTCATAAAAATAACGATTAATTCAACACTCAAATGATATAAATTAAAACTCCAACTTTTTTAGGATGTTATTTTCAATCAAAGCGAACCAACGTCACGTATTGTGGTCAAACATTTTTACTTTACTAGAAAGATTAGATACTGAAGTCAAATAGCCTTTAGTATTAATAAATCGATACACCTAGGATTTTTATGCTATACATCTGTACACAAACCAGATGTACCAACAATAAAACAAACTATTCCCTATTAGTACATGCAGATAAGTGGGAGAAATTAGGGGATAATAAGTCAGAGCTATGAACTGACTGGTCGAGAAACACTTAACGTATATAGCTCAATAACTAACTGAAGGATATGAAAATGATTAGTACAAATAAAGCAAACAAGTAAAAATAAATAATATCAGATTTTCTGTGCAGATAAATTTTATTCAATACAATTGATCTAAAATGCTTCGAAGTAATTCATAAATTTGGTTGACAGTTAGACAACAACACTTTACAGCATAACTAGTGTTGCAGACGGTGGACAAGCTCAACTTAATTCAAAATAGGTACGAAGAATCTTGAGCATTTGAGAGCATCACATTTGTCTCATATGCACAATACAAACAGCAAAGCTAAGAAATTACATGAATATTGTCACAGTGAAAGTGACAAACACAAGCACTGCAGAGTACTAGATAATTATTCAAAGTACTGACAAGGTGAAAAAGATAATCCATCGAACCTATGAATATTTTAACGAAGCTTTTGAAAGTCATCCACAACTGGTAATATGAAAAGCTGGTTAAAAGTCACTGGTTTTACAGTTAGTCTGCAGATAACTGAAGGAAAGAGTATCTTCAAAACTAAGTCGCGCATGAAACGAAGTGAAGATATATTTCGCACAAATCAATGAATGAATTTTTTAATTATGAATCTTGATAGGTTTTTCATTTGGAGCATAACGAGGACGTTTAGATGGCTTATGATCGATTCCCAACCATGGGCGACTTTCAGGAAGACAATAGTGAGTAAACCTTTTTATCTGCACTGTGGGATCCCCTTCATTCGGGATGTAAGCGCCCTCAGTTGGATAAATTACAGCGAATCGCCAACGGTCAAACTCCTTTTCAGGTACTTCTAGGCGTTTACGTATACGCTCGCGCACTGCAGTGTAATTCTCTCCATCTCGAATGCGTACAGTGAACGGCACACCGAAAGTCTCTGTGAAAGCTTTGTCAAAATGAGAAACGTATACTACAGTCTCGTCAGGTTTCAAGTTTATTTCGTCAAGAGGAATTTCTTCAATCCGAAGACTATGAATAGGAGACGACCCTGCATATGTTTGAGGAAACACAGCAGATTCAGGTATGAGTGAAAGTTTTTGTGTTGGAGGATACTCTTGTATAATTCGATTACGAGAAATTTTGAGTAGACGCAGTTGGCCAGAACCACCAGGAGGCAAGACTAAATGACGAGAAGCTTCTTTTAAAAGATCTAAAACTAAACCGTTCTGGGGTACTGATAGAATTAATTCTGCCTTTTCCGATAATTTTTGCCCAACATAAATCACACGAACTTGACGCATTGTTTCAAGTTCATCGATTCGAATAGCCAAATGTGCGTAGTACACACGACGAGGTGGGGAAGAAGTAACAGGGCCCAAAGGAGAACGGCTAACAGTCACAGCACCACAAAAACGATTAAGCGGTATTGGAAAGCGATCTGGAGTGGGGGTATTTCCACCAGTTCCTGACAATGTATTTCCGCTATTAACCAAACCTGGCCCGATACCACCAACATCAGAAGCCCATGAAGTATTTGTGGGCGCAACAGTAAACGGAAGGAAAAATTCCTGCAATGTACCAGAATATGACGAGCTGATTGCAGGACCGGGAGGTTCTCGCATCAAACCCTGAGCGGCTGCGGCTGCCACAAGTGAATTTAAGTAGGGTGACGACGTTGGGAAACCTAAAACAAACAGGAAAAATAATAAATCACGTTACTCATTGTATTGTCTGAAGTACTTGTATAACGTTAGCTATATTATTCAAACTGTTTTAATAACTTCAACAGTCCAAGACATAATTTCGAAAGAGTTTGTCTGTACGACTTACACACATACATAAACTACTACCTGGACTAATTTTCTGCATACACATTGAAATACGAGAAGCTAACAATATCAAACTTTTTCTGAAGGAAAATCCATATTCTATAAAAGCGAAAATTGAGTTGAGTTCTATTACTATAGTACAGTTGAGTGAGATATAATATACACGGACGGTTGGAGAAAATTTATTGAGCGCTAAAACTTCATTTGCTCAGACGAAAATTTTTTCATATTTAACAAAATTTAATAATACATTGTATGTAATTCCAATACATTTCAAATATCAACAAGACATGAAAATGAGGACCAAAACCGCTGTCAATTTTCTCCCTAAATTGAGAACCACAAGTCGGCAACAGTAAATTAATGACCTGGTACCATGTGTAGTTGACAACAGAGAAAGGCAAGTGCATGAAATCTCGAAATCTTGGTTTCAAAACTCGACTAGTCTGGATAAAACATCTTAGAAACCAAGTTGGTATTTGTCTAAAGAGTAAATAATTCCGTCAATATAAGCTTGAAAACTGAGCATTCTTTCCACAAATTACAGTATAAGTTGTGAGAGCCAAGTGTGCAGTGTGTGTATCAAAAGTTATCATTTGTGATATCCACAATAATGTTGGCGAATTGATTTTTGCCTACATAATTTGCTCATTCACTAGGTACTTTACTTAGCTGAAAGCCGGACGTCCTAACCACTAAGACACCAATACATGCTAATAATCAAAACTATGAATTTTATAGAACGATACCCAATATGTCAATCAGAAACAATGTAGGGCCATGTACAAATCCATGTTTTCCACAGTTTGAATAAGTAAACGCGTCATGTTGAGAACTACCAGGCTTCAGGAGCTAGTATAATATATATTATGACTTAAAGCAAATAATCATTATCCAATTTTGAATATAGCAACTCGACGTTAAAAAAAGTGGAACGAATAGGGTGAAACAAGAGCAGTAATAAAAAATATCTGTGGTAGAAACGTGTAGTATTTACAGAAAATGATGGGTAAATTCAGTATAAATTATCGAGACCCCCAAAATGCCCTGGTACGGCCGAGAGTGGGGAGAGTCCGCTCTCCCTCTCCAAATGCTCTCACATGGCCACGCGTATATAGCCTCTGCCAGGGAAGTCCTACTCACTGCTCTCTCATGGCGTGGGTGTTGCTTACAAAAATGAGAGGACGAAAAGCGAATGTCCGGCTCTTTGACCGGATCCCAAAACAATGGTGTACATGGGCTCCAGTATCCTGAGTGAACAAATGGCGTGTGAACCAATCGTTGGTCACCGGCTACCATGGGACTGCATCTCCTTACGATGCTCCACTGCCTTGTGGATCAAATCTTCAGGTCGAAGGCTCGGGGTGTGCCCTCCTAAGAAAACCACCTGCATCGGTTTAGGCACCCGGTCAGTATCACAGCCCTCACACATATCCAATGAGATCTGTGTGGCGCATATATATTCGGTGCCTCCTTGTACCGATATATATGTGTTAAAATAAATAAATAATAAATAAATAAATTGAGACATTAAAAAATAAGAATGATTATACTGTACTGCAGTTTCCTTTAACTTACCAGATGATTTGGCTGTTAACAAATGAGGATGAATTGGTGAACCACGAGTTCCTGTAACTCCTACACCCCCACTCTCTACAGAACAGACGTTGTTATTGCCACAAGTGTTCTCTGTAGTTTCTGAACTGATAGGTGGAGATGCAAGTTCACTTCCGGTGACACCAGTCCCAGTGGAGACAGGCGAGACATAAATTGGTGCATTAACAGCATCCGTCGTATTCCCAAATCCTTGTTGTGAACGGAAAAATTGAAGACGGTTACTTTGCGTTGACAGGTATGCTGCAGCAACATTGGCAAATTCCCAATACGTAAGATCGGCTGACACCTGAATGAGAATCCCAGCGTCCTGAGGTCTAAGCTTATCCACCAATAATATTTCGAACTACAAGAAAAAATGATACTCACAGTTTTACCCCTAAGTAATAACAGTCATTACGTTTATATGAACTTATTTGGTCATTCTTACAGAATGTTAGGAAAATAAAGAGTACTTCGCCGAAGAATTGCCTTCGATTACTTGTTTAGACGTTGCAGTTACGAACTAATGTAATGCTATAATTCCCTTTACATATATTGCGCAACACTCCGAATTTAAATTGATTGGGTTTGTGGAAGACAAATAAGAAGACAGTCATTGTCAAGGACTGCCATCAGCTGCGAAACCACTGGACAGCAAAAAGTGCTGAGAACTTGCCTTGCTCCAGTCGAGGGCTTCTGGAGAGGCTGTTGATGAGCAATACTGACATCTAGACTAAAACGAAACATACGTTCCTGCATTTTACTCTCCTCCAGTCCATTAAGAAAAGTGATTTAAAGACTTCAATTCAATCAGCTAGAATTGTACAATGATAAATTTAAGTGAGTTCCCAATTAATAGGATGGAAACTAGCACATTCCATGATGATATGTATGAATGCATATGGATTCGCATACAAAATTAATTTTAACTCGACATTAAAATAATTAAGAACTAGAAAATCAATTTCTTAATAATTTCATTATAGAACACAGAATATACAATCGTATAGGGATTAAGAATAATTGCGAATCTAAATGCCACAAAAGTATCTTCTTAACCCTGAAACATCTTTTTTAAATACACTATTCTACTACAACCTATTTTGATGAATAATAAATTATTTCAAACCAACACATAAAAAACATATAGAAACATCAGCTAAAAAATTTTACATTACATTCATAGTAGGTTTCTCTACTATATGTAACACGAACAGGTAAATTTCAAGACTGACTTCGAATATATACATTCAATGAAGCAATAACCACGATCATAATGGTTGATGTAGAACAATAAACATCTTACTGGAGATGTTAAATTAACGGCTAAAACCTGAGTTTGAGTTTTACAAAAAATTCTTGAAATCATCAATTACGATGCGCATGTTGAAGCAAATGTTACAGTTTTAAATCAGGCACTACGAACTAATTAACCAACCAGATTGCTATTTTAATTCTGGACAACTTGCACAAAATACATGACCATTGAAATGTGACAAGATGACTATTTATTAGTAAATCACTTATAACTAAAATATTTTTTTGTAAAAATCTAAAACACCAAACCTATTAAGCACACCTGACGTATATAACTGCCGAAGTAATCAAAAATAGTCAATTTTTCTGCAGACGAGATTGTTTGCGTTTGTAAATCGGCTGTAATCGGTTGACCCATCAGATTCATACAAGATCGGGATTTATTGCCAGCTACTGCTGGGAAAGTAGCCATTTTATGCAAAGTAATGGAATCAATATTCGATAACGAGATAACAGAAGACTCCGAAATATCTCTGCAAACATCTGCGTTACCACTAACATTATCGTCCACGATATGTGAAGGGATGGCTATACCATTCATACCAATAACCTGGCTGTTGTCAGTAAGAAGAGGACTTTCAACAGACGACAAAATATGCGCATCATCTACTAAACTGCTCAACGCTTCTTTCCCCATCTCAGTAGTTTCCATCAATCCAAATGGTAATGGGATTGAACAATTAATTGATTTAGCCTACAAAAAAGATAATTAGAAAGTTTCTGGAAAATAATATGTCCATCCCATTGAATGTAATGAATCCAAAAAGCTATGAATCCTTGTTTCAGTATCGCTACAAATACAATTACTCTGGTAATTTATAAAAGACTACTTTTGAGTTACGAATTTCAAGGGTCAACGAATAAATGAAAAACACTGCACTCAGTTGATACTGTGACGAACACTGAAAGTAAATTTTGAAGTTGGATAAGTAGTTTTGTAGCTGACTTATAGAAACAATGCAAATATGTGTTTTTTAGTGATTCAATTCGTATATTCTGTATATTTAGGACGTGAGATTCACAAAAATTCATCGGCAGTACTTGGCCATAATAAATAGCTTTAACAACAAGAAACTTATAAATTAATTAATCAATTGATATAGTGCTATACCCGGCAAATGGTTTATAATTTCATTTTAGTGTGACAGTCATGGTATTATTTGACTAATGAGTACTTTATTTAGTAAAATGTGGCTTTATTGGTAACTAACAGCTGAGTTTCGTAATACGTCATGTAATCTCAGTTGTGACAATTTATTAATAATGTTTATCATTAATATCATGAGATGATGTACTTGGAACTCATTAGCTACTCATAAGTTAGTTAACTATATCTAATTTAAAATAATATCTATAAGCCTAAACCAAATTAGGAGGTAAAGTTGAATCTGGTGTTAAATGCATTAAACAAAAAGCTGAGTACGATTATATTGTAACACAGAAATCTTGATTAACGTTGTTCATATAAAGCACACATTTTAGATCTAGTTTCTTGATTCTTCCTAAACTAATGCAAGTCTGTGGATCTACAACTTTAAACAAATTACCGTACCAAGTGTTCATAAGTTTGGATATTCAGCAGAACTAAGAACAATAGATTTGCAACAAAATATACCAAGACCACTTGAGCTAGGGTACTGGGGAATAAAACTAAGTTTGATTTCTTCATACATGTGAACGAAATCGGAGAACCATACAATGAGTACTGAAATGTAGGTATACACAAAAGGGTGAGCAATAAATTTAACTAACTTGAAAGTACAAAATCTGTCCTTGGATATCGCGTTTATACATTTTAGATATTGGGATATCAAGCTGTGTAATTTCAGATATCAAAGATTTCGAATCATCTTGGAAAAACATTAATTTACAATTAGAAGGTAGTCCAACCCGTTCGCGAGCGATTGGTTCAATAACCCTCAACGATTCGTCTCTGCGAATTTCCACATGGCCACAAAAGGTTGACGTCCAAGTGAATGGATCGAAATATTTTAGGAAAAACAAGTGTCGATCTATCACAGTTTGTTCTTTATCCACACGAGGAATAGCTGAATCAGTCGAAGTATCGGACTGAACAAAAAATATGAGAGCATCTTTCATAGCGCATAAAGGCTGATTATCACAAAGTTCAATTAGATGAGTAGGCATGTTCTTACGTCTAATGGTGAAAAAAGTAGAGGTAAACTACATAACTTTCGATGAATACAGAAACATGTAAAACTGTTTTTTTTTATTTGCTTGCAGATATACGTTGTTCAGTAAGAAGATTCAAAATATCACGTGAATAATCCTATTAAAAACTAAGTATTTGTACTAAATTTGAAATGCAATTTTGAAAAAAACAACGGATGAAACCCATTGATTCATTAAAACGGAAGAAAAATTTTCAACAAATAAAGTTTTCTTTTCGACAATATCATTTTCTGAAGCTGTATAATCGTATTTGTAGGTAGTTTTTACATGCAGTAAGGCATAGTAAAATAGAGGAGTTTTACAAAATTATCAAAGATAATCAAACCTATTCAAATATCGGATGTGAAAATCAATGAAAATGTAGTGGTGTTGTATAATATAATCAAGAATATCAAGAGATTTTAAGGTATAGAATAAAACGAGTAGTTCATCATTTAGCAAAGTTGTTACGTCCTGAGCCCTGTCAAATATGAAGTGACTAAATCGTCAATTAGACATAGATTTATATAACGTTGACACTGTGCCAAACCAATGGCATGTTAACGAGTACGAGTAGTCTAGAATCAACTCAGAGTTCTTATAAGTTCTCGCATAGCCTCGTCTGTTAGAGTCCAGAACACAATTTCAGCTTCCACTGTATGAATCGTATATTTCAGACATACTTGGTCGATACACAAGCAAACCAGACCGAATCATACCACATAATAGCAAATAACAATTATACAACATTAGGCCAAAAGTGGCCGTGTGTTACTGTAACTTAACAATACAAAATCGTATAATATTAGCCAATAGGTCAAATGAAAACTTATATATATATATATATATATATATATATATATATATATATATATATATATATATATAAAACAGTTTATAAATAGTTCTCAGAAGTGACACAATTTAATCTTCCTCGGACAAAACAAAAGTAATCAAAATTATGAAGAACTAAAATTAGGTAAAAGTTTTGGAAGTAATAAGTAGTAATTTGTAGAATAAAAACAAAGATAACTATCTACTTTGAAAATGAGAAGAGGAAGATAATAATTAGCACTTACGATTTGTAAAATTTGGAGGGGTGCTAAGAATACGGAATAATAAGGGATTGAACATGACTTTTAAACACAAAGGTCAAGTTTGAAGTGATCAATTGCTAGTCTTAGTTGTGCACAAATTTCTCATCCAAACCTATTTTGGGCCAGTTCTCTTCACCAGGTAGATGATTTTTGAACGACGATTTTCGTGATGGGATGTGACCAGAATTGACCTAGTGTTTAAAAATTGAACTATTGACTGATTTGTATATCCCTTTTGATAGCTGTCCAAGGTAGAACTGGATATTCATTTAACAAGTGCACGATTTGTACGTCCAATATAACCTGCTCCACAGAAGCAAGTAAATTCTATTTTTGCAAGAGATAAATGAATGATACCTTAATCAACTGTGACGAAGATAGTGACCTTAATACAAGAGTTCAATAATTGCCATTACTGGATTATGTTCATAACATAATCAAAGTTGAATTCGAAAATCCGCTTTTTTGATATTCTGTTAAAATAAGGACCAGATGGAAATCTATTGTATAAAAGAATAAAATTTTCATTCAAAGTTTAGTACTATCAACTTGGCGTTTTAGTTTTAGATTACTACCAATCAGCCTGGACGAGAAACCACTTTTCAAAAGTAATTTTTGAATTATATTCAACTCATTGTTAATTTTAGTGCACATTTGTCTGACTCTTGAGAACAAAGAATGGGCGAAATGTACCTTCCTCAGTGGCACCAAACTCTGGAAATTTGTATACTAATCGTCCCAGGTTGGCTCTTCGCATGTCGACCGTTGTAGAGATCTACCCCATAATTTCGACTGTGATATATGTGTAACTCCTCTATTTTAGTATGCACTACTACATGTAAAATTACCTACGAATACAATTATACAGCTTCAGAAAATGATATCATTGAAAATAATATTTACCTCACTGAAAATGCAATTTGTTTAGTAAGATAAAAGGGACCTACCGAGGTTGAAACCGCCACAAACGTATTCCTTCAGGCTGATAATGCAACACACTAGCCACATCTTCTAATAATTTCGGACGAACAGTTTGTTTTTGGACGCGTAACATCCGACTGGGTAATAACTCTTGACTACACAAATCTGGACCCTAAAATTCAGAACAGCACTATGGATTAAGTTTATTGGAAGTGATAAAAACAAATGAAAGATAAAGCGAAGTACATTTGAAATTAGGCAATATACAACCAAATTTAGCTGACGTACTTGCCAACCATAGAAGTCCTCTTCAAGTATTAACTGAATAGCGACATACAAATGAACCTTTTCTTTTTGTTTTCTTTTAGCCTCATCCATCTTTTGTTCATCCATGAATCGTTCGCGTAATGTCTCAGGAATATCTATCTCAGAAACAGGGCATAAAACATCATCTTTCGCGGAATCTGCGATATACACAAGCATATAAGCGTTTGTGCAAAGACGCATATCAGGATCATCACTACCTCCGAAATTCTGTAATAAAATAAGTATAATTATAATAAATCAAAAAAAGTATGAGTGTAAAAAATATATATTATTCTATAAAAACACGTGCAGTTCAAACGTAGTAGAGAGAGATAATAATTATATCAATAATTAAAACAATGTAATATGAACACAAGCGATGCAAACGTGAAATGACTGACAAAATGTCCTCTTTAAAACTCATTTGTTTCAAGAATTATCAACAAATGAGAAAATTACCGAATTCTGTTCAGTGATGTAATCATGATTTGATATCAAAATACTTTAATAAAGCCAACGTAACTCAACTAGGATGTTAATTGAGCCCAAAAACTAAACAGTGAGAAGCATTATCCGTGAAAACACAATCACAGGATAAGTCTATGCTACTAGATGCAAAAACAGTAAACTACATCGTTGGGTGACTAGAAAAAGTCTACCCTAGCATTAAGGCAAGTTCAAAAGTTCCAACTCAATTATTTATTCGGCAAAATTATCCAATATTGTCAATCAGCTACAACGCAGGACCAGACACATATATGCATCGGTCCAAGTTGCCATAACGCATTAGCACAACTGTAGTGAACAAAACACCAGTGGGGACAATCCAATGTATTTAACAACAAATTACAGAATTAGTTAGTAAAATCAAACAACCATATATTGAATCGTTAATTTGCAAATTGTTCATCAATTGTCTCAAATCACTCAGAATCCCCTTGTTCTTGCATTTTCATACAAATTGCATTCTGTCTTCATTCTTTATTGTTCAATCTTCTTATCTCTCTGCCGCCAGACATTCTGTTCAGCGCTCACGTCATATACTACTTATGTCTACATAAGTAGCACACACCACACTCGTCCCCCCTTTAAAAGCATTCGTTCTTGCGGTGGTTCATGCTCGCCGTGCAACATTCTTCCATCTGCAGTCTGTGCTACGCCCTCCGTCAAAATGTCGAGTCTGCGGCGCGCTGACCTCCATAGCTACGTCGACCTGCCGGGGAACCAACATCCGACCTCCACCCGGCACCTGGGACGTCTACTCCTGTGCTCAACCGGCCTGCTGAGCCATCTATATCCGATGTCCGCCCAGCAGCCGCACGTCCCACTGCTCCTCTCCGTCGACAGCACCCGCTACGGCCAACGCCGCACCGCCAGAACACTCCACCAGACGCCACCTCTCCGCACCAGACTGCCCCAACCTGCGCCTCAGCTCCAGGCCCGCAACGGCGTCCGCAGAACAGCACCCTCCTCCTCTCCTGGTTGGCAGCGACACCAAATGTAGTGAACAAAACACCAGTGGGGACAATCCAATGTATTTAACAACAAATTACAGAATTAGTTAGTAAAATCAAACAACCATATATTGAATCGTTAATTTGCAAATTGTTCATCAATTGTCTCAAATCACTCAGAATCCCCTTGTTCTTGCATTTTCATACAAATTGCATTCTGTCTTCATTCTTTATTGTTCAATCTTCTTATCTCTCTGCCGCCAGACATTCTGTTCAGCGCTCACGTCATATACTACTTATGTCTACATAAGTAGCACACACCACACAACAAATTGAACACCGAATTCATAGGAGTAGTTAATTCAATTACGGTAATATATAAAAGAAAGATTTCATGTAAGGATATAATACAGGAAGAGAGAATTAGTTGGTAGAAAGATTTGAAGCGATTTTAATCTCATAGTTTAAGGGAAGATAAAGGGTGTATATACCTACGCCATTGTGATTGATCCTGAGCCATATCACTGAACAACTGAACAATACTCCACTTTACTAACATTCTCGACGACCGTTGTTGCTACCTTGACTTGGTGGTCAGGCTTTCCCATCGTGATGAACCAATCGAGCTATAAAGACTGGAACAATCGTTCCTCAAGGTCCTACCATGCCAGACAAGTCGATTGAACAGTAAGACTAAAAGCAGCAAACCCAAGGTCCGAAGATGAAGTCGTATTGCTGACTGTACAGAGGTGTGACAGCAGTAAGGTGTTTCCTTCCGACAACCATCATGACAGTGATGCTACATTCTCACAAGGAAGGGTGAAGTTAGAAAAGGGGTTGAATCAACTACATATTCACCATTCGTCAAGTTTTAGAACACAGGCATACTTATCGGCGTCCGACAATGGTGGTCTTTCTTGACTTAAAAGCACCATTTGACTCTATAGAACGCGAAATTCTGTGGCAATGTCTGTCATTGAAAGGCGTACCTCAGAAATACATAAACCTTGTGAAGGCTCTTTACTCGAACACTACTAGTCGAGTCAGAGCTTATGGCGAAATGTCATCTAGTTTTGCAACCTCAAGTGGTGTCCGTCAAGGCTGTTCACTTTCTCCATTTTTGTTTAACTTCATCATAGATCTACTGATGGAAATAACGCTCTCATCGACTGAATTCTCGGGTATTGATCTCCTACCAGGAGGTCCACTTATTGACTTAGAATACGCAGATGACATAGTCCTGTTTGGTGAAGACGCTGATGAAATGCAGAGTCTTTTGGTAGCACTGAGCAACAATGCCAGAATGTTTGGGATGCGCTTCTCTCCCTCCAAATGCAAGTTGTTGCTTCAGGACTGGTCTGCGTCAACACCTGAACTAAGGATAGGGAGTGAAGTAGTCGAACGTGTTGACAACTTCACTTATCTTGGAAGTCTGATCAGCCCTAATGGGTTGGTGTCTGACGAAATCTCAGCACGGATTCAGAAAGCTCGTTTGGCTTTCGCCAACTTACATCACCTATGGCGAAGGCGAGATATCCGTTTATCAATAAAAGGACGAGTATACTGCGCGGCAGTTCGTTCCGTTCTACTATACGGCTGCGAAACATGACCTTTAAGAGTAGAAGATACTCGTAAGCTACAAGTATTTGACCACAGATGCCTTAGAAATATTGCTGGGATCACCGGGTAAGTAATAGTGAGGTTAGACGCAGGGTATTAGGGAATGGTGGTAAATCAGTTGATGAGGTTGTGAATGTTCGTCGACTGAGATGGTTGGGCCACGTGCTCCGTATGCCTGAACACCGATTACCACGACGCGCAATGATGACTAGTGGTGGGGATGGTTGGAAGAAAGTTAGGGGAAGTCAAACCAAAACGTGGCATCAGTGCTCGGAGTCATTAACTTATAGACTTATCCATGTTGGTAGATGCAGACTACTTGGTTGGGGTCTGCGTGACTATCGTAACCAATGGTTGGAGACTCTGGTGACATGACTCAGAATCTATCACAATGGTGAAGGTGTATACACCCTTTATCTTCCCTTAAACTATGAGATTAAAATCGCTTCAAATCTTTCTACCAACTAATTCTTTCTTCCTGTATTATATCCTTACATGAAATCTTTCTTTTATATATTACCGTAATTGAATTAACTACTCCTATGAATTCGGTGTTCAATTTGTTGTGCTAATGCGTTATGGCAACTTGGACCGATGCATATATGTGTCTGGTCCTGCGTTGTAGCTGACTGACTATTGATTTAGCTTGGGCGACTATGTTGTTTATCCCTTAATACAAAAAGTGACGATGTTTGTATCTTCCAACTACTGTTACAAAATATCACTAAGTATCGCGTGTCAAATACCACATTAAATTAGATGTTATGTCGTAGAACAACTCTTAGTTGTCAATTTAGTATGCAGCTGAATATTCGGATATTGTTAAATACAAAGTACGGTTTAGTTTGGATGAATCACCGAGTTTCGAAAACCAGAAATTCAGCAGTGAGGCGTCGAACATAATTTTAGACATTATAGGGTCGTTGCTTTGCAGCTCAAATAGTTAAGTTTTAACTACTTACTTGTAGTGCCGAAACTTTCCAACTATTTTAGTTTAGAAGTAAGCCACGTAATGATTTAAAGCTTGAGGATTATCAATATTCAATGAAAATATCCGACTATAAGAATACCTCGATGGTCACAAAGTTTATCAGCCACAGACAAAACTCATTACACTTTGAGCTGAAGGTAGGGACTGTGAAAAATAATCGTAAATCCAGGACATGATCAAAATATACTTTAGTTTATGGGAGAAGATACTTTCAAAATGAGTACTTGGACATGTAATCTTCATTGACACCAACATTTAAAATCAGCATACTAGATCTGACCATTGATTTGTAAACCGGTAGTATATGTTATACCTTGCCACAGAAATACATTTTGTGTAACTCTTGAAACCAACCACATTAACTTACTGTGATAAAAGAACAGTCTAAACTAACATTGATCACTTTGAGTGAATCAGCTATCACAGATGATTAGAGCATTTAACGTTATAGATTAAGACTAATTCAGATATTACTATATATCACAAAAGGTGAAAAATGTCACATAACGTCAAAATCAAATTATCCAGGTTACTAATGAGCTCTGGAAATCGAAACCAGAAAAAGTATAGTAGTACTAAAATTTTAAAAGCTACATGAATGCGACAACATGAGTGCACGCATATAAGCTTTATGTGAAACTTACATAATTATCCAGATACAAGGCAAACAAATATCTATCTACAGTAAACTAAGAGTAAGGTTTCGGGATTAGTTAGCCAAGACGAATACTTTGAATGAATTACTGTTTTGAAGTCAGACAGTGATTTAAATTACTTTCACTACCAATAGTATAAGCATTCAAAAGAGAACACTTGAATGTCAAATGAGCAAAAAAATGAGTACATGTTCAACTAAAATCGACTGCATTTCTCAAAGGAAAAAGATTGAATTAAGATTAGGGATCATATCATCTATATTTATATGAGGTTTTTTAACAAACAAGTTGTTTTTGAACCTAGTAGCAATGGTTACAAACAGCAAACTAAAACTAAACCACCATGACAGTTAATGTCAGATGAATAAAACGTTACAAAACTTACCATATCGATAGCATCACGGGGTGAGCAACGTGAAACAACATCGTCGTCAAACTGATACCATATACCATTTAGCGCTGGATTTATATATACAACATAATGACCACCATGATTATCACCAGAGTGCACAAGTACAGCGTGAAGTTTATAAGTAGATGGTTTTGGTTCAGCCAAAAACTGATCCAACTTAAGAATAGGTGGAAATTCAAATCGATCATTTAGTTTGATATTTGTATCAGCAACGAAGTCATACTGAAAACGCATTAGTTGCAGGTACAGTACCGGCGGAAATCTTGTGAATATAACACCTTTTTCAGCTTCTTGGAGCCCATAAGCACCAGCATCATATTTATTATCTTGAGAGAGGGTTTCTTTAGCAATGTATTCATTGAAAGCGTCATAAACAGAACGATTTCCGTTAACTTTAAGTTGGATATCATAGAAATTTTCTTCTCTCTTAGAAGAATAAGGAACATTGATACAATTTATATAAGAAAGCATTTTCCCACAAAATAGTCCGGGTATAACATCCTCAACTGAAGTGCCTTTCATTTTGTTTTCCAAGTTGTCCAGTAAAACCCGACATAATTCTTGAGCATCATGTTGCATAAATGAATCTAAAGTGGCCCAACCAAAACTGCGAGTCAACTTTTTAGTGCCTACAGCACGACTACTGAACTGCAATTCATAAAATACTCGTTGCAGAGCCAGAGGTACACTTGTTTGGGCATCATCACTTTCCGTTGGCATTAAAAATACTGCACGTCGTAATTTATTTGTGCAATACAATGCTTGAAGCAGAGAATTTAAATAGCAAGTAGCGCCCTGATTTTTCAGCCCAACAAATCCAGTGTGGCGTTTGGAATCCCAATCAGCACCATGAGGAGCATCAGCTTTAATATGAGCTCGGATAATAATTGTATCTTTCGGATCTGTTGGAGATATGAAACCTCTCTCTGGATTAAGCAACTCGTCATAACTAATAAATTGTTGGAAACCCCAGTCGTTTTCCTTGTGTGTGAAAGTATGCTGAATTTTCATTTCTTTATTCTTGCAATTCGGTCTCTGAGCAACTAACTGAATAGTTGCTTTGGCAGTACAACTCCAGGTTAGTGATTCGCTTTCTGCATTACACTGTACAAAAACACCAATTGTCGACTGAGCGTCCGCCGGATGAAAAATTACAAGTATTTTCCACGGGAGACAACGAATCATTCCTGATCCTCGAACCACCTTAAAAAGGGGGATAAAAATTATTGATGTAACATACAGAGATCTTACAGTTACTAAAATTCATTTGAACTACACGAAAAATGCTTCATTTTTGTATATTCATTATGGTACTAATACTGTTCCTAAAAAAGACCTACGCAGGAATGACAGCAGTAGATATTTACAAAATTTTGTTTTTTAAGACTGAGAAATTTCACTTCGATATTCATTTACTATAAACAGTATTCATAGACTGTCATCTTTTCATAATAATCACAGAAACTACTACAGGTGAAAAACGAAGAGTTATAACACATACCTTCTAACATAATGAAAATCTAAATACATATTCATGTATTTACTTGTACAACACATAAATTCAATGGTGATAGTTGTACACTATCCTGGTAGAAGATGAAAACCGTGCGTTACATTTGAAAGTGTAAACGATAAAAATCAGTGGATATAACAAGTTCTAAAATTTATATATAATACAGCACTGTATAATGATCATTACTCATTATTATTCTTCAGTTTATATGCACAAGCCTAATTTCTGTAGTTAATGAATATAGTTATTATTTTATTCGAAACAAAGTGGTGAGTAGGTGAATCAATATTTCCGAATGTCTTTGTCTTAGTAACGGCAATCTTATTTTGCTTCTACTGATCTGCACCACTTTAAACTCCAACTGGACTATTGTTTTGCCTTAAGATTCCCGAAGATGTATCATTTCAACTTGATAGCGTACGCTCACTGACCGAAAATTACTCTTAACTTCATATGATGAACTTGTTAATTAGGTAGTTTAATACCGGTCTTCATAGATGATCAATATTAATATAAGCGCGCTATAAAAATACAATCGTGCCTTTCGGACGGTTAGGTCAACCGTGTAAGTGGGAGCATTTTAGGTAATATCGTATGACATACTCAGCTGTGAAAAAACCATGAAAAATTTATTCATTCTAATATAGCACATCGGTGAATGTCATCATTTCTGTACAATGGGTAATACAACTTTGACCTCTCAGAAGTTTAAGTGAAAATAAAAATTAGGCTAACAAGCCAAAAATGATACGAAAACTAGATAAACTAGTGGAATTAAACATTGCGTTCTGTATACTTATAGACAATATCAAATATTGCTGGCACCCTTAGCAGCTACATGCAACCCAGTTGAGGTTCGCTCATAACCAACGGTCAGAGACGCTGGGAAACATGGCTCAGAATCGGTTAAAATGTTATAGATTCATTCACTCTGTCTCCCCATAGATCATAAGTTTTAAAATCACATTATAAATATTGTTCTGTGAATTCATTTTTTTTATCTTCAGTGATATTGCCCGTGTCTAAATTTTTTTATTACTGCTGATACTATTACTACTTTTAATTTACCATCTTGCATTGATAAAGCAGTTTAGCAATCTGAACTGATAGATAGATGTGCCAGGTTCCGAGTAGCGGGTAACTGATGTTTTTTATATTGTTCACAAATAATCACAGATTAATGAGAAAAGCCAAAACATATTGAATATAGAAAACACTTACGCGAACGTCTGCACGTGCGGCACTTTGCTGAAAACGTTTGAAGAAAAGGAAATTTACTCATCAGGGTTTAAGAAAGAAAATGTAAATAGTAACTAGAATAACTGTTTCAAACCAAAGAGCAGACAGTAGCACTTAGTATTATGAATGAATACTGCATAGTACATTTGCAAAGATTCAGGGGAACCCTATTTATATATGAAGGTTGGACTAGTGAAACCGTATTTAGAAACATCCACAAGCCTCAATTGTTGATAAACGATCAATTTGTACGTCGTTTTTTATGGTACAGTAAGCGTGAGCAAAAAAGAAAGTGGTTAGTTAGCTTCTTCTAACAGAAAATAGCACTTTTGTGTTTCCACCTCTAGTTCTCGTTTTTATAACAAATAATTCTAGTTATCAAGATTTTTTGCAACTCTTTTAATCTGACAAAGAAAACCTTCACCAATCTCTAAGTAAAATGCGAGAAGCTAGCTTCGTACATAGGAAGTCCCGTAATGGTTAAACAATTATTACGATAAATAGATGTTGAACCTAACCATCAACACACACCCACTGTACCCATAAAATATAATAGTATGGGTGTTAGCGGGACAAAGATTGGATTGAAGCATGCTCAATGCACGATTGCTTTGGTGCACGCTGATTGGCTAATTCTTATCCAATCAGAGCCAGCCGATGCTTGGAGAACACTCTAGAAATCTCATGTAAAAACTATAAATATACTAACGTTTTTCCCATTGTGTTTCTTACTTCCATCTAACCTTGTTATTTGGAATAAAATCTCTTTCCCGTTCAACCGTGTTCTGGTTTGGGGACTTGTCGAGTGAATTGGTGTCCGAGAATATTAAGCAATAAGAACAGCTGGGTTGTAATAAGAGAGAATTATAACAATGGGACTCCAGAAAGTGAGCACCTACGACCCCACACACAAGGATCGAAGCCAGGACCTCCGGTCCCGGGTCTAACGACTAACATCAAGATTAATAAGCCCATATCCAACAGTATTGTGCTTAACTTCAAGCAATTCACAACCCTATACTGAAAACTATCATGCACCGACTAATGAATAGCTTCGTAAGGAAAATGCAGACATCGTAAATGTGGGTTTTATCCTAGAAAACATCTGCAGCTGTCCATCGTTTCATGAAAAAAGTCAATGGAGTCGGTCATGAAAGGATGTTTGAAACGCTTAATGTATATTTTGGCTTATAAACTGAAGTTAAGATGACATCACAAATCATTTACACCTTTTATCAGTATACTTATCTATGGTTTCAGTTCGTATTAAATTCATTTTAGCCAGTGAGTTTCCAAGACTTCTATTCGTGATCAACGTAAATACAATAAAAACGGGATAGTCTATCAACATCATTACTATGTTTGAAGAGATCACGAGATCACCTAATCTGCGGACGGAACGAAGACTCAGTGATACAATGACCAACAAGCTAACTCTTCCGATGCGACCCAGCCCCACTAACTAGAGAGGGAAGTCCAGACTCAGAAGAGGGAAATGTATTCCACAAACAGCCAGAAACACGAACAACAACAATAGTAAACACAAGTTAAGCGTATATATGCAGCATGAAAACGTATTTGCAAAACGTTACAAAAAACATTAAAAGAGACCACAAACCAATAACATTTAAGTTCTACCCAAGTGGCAAATACGACATGAAGGTGAAAATGGGTGCTTTTAGTGAGAAAACAAGAAATTAAAGTTTTTAAAATAGCATTGTGAAAATGAGGCATTTACCATGTGAGTTTCTAGGGATCTAACATCCCCAATAATCTTTCAGTGCCATCAACTTACCAAACAGTACTAATTGTAGCTATTATTTAAACAGACACTACTTGGACGTTTAAGTAGTCTAGGGTTCTTTGTGTACATAGTAACTTTCAGTGATGAGTATGTAGCAGTGTACTACGCAAAAATCATATGACACCTACATAATCTGTCAAACACAGGATCAGGGTACAAACATAATGAACAAAAAGATTCAGTCAAAGTGAAATAAACGTACCTTGTGATGTAAAATGTTTTCGAAGACACCTTCGATAACTCCTGAAGCTCTTGCTTCGTCATTTTCGTCAAAGGCATCAACCGAAGCATCTGTTTGTTCACAAGTTGTCCCGCAGCATCCTTTGACAGTAGCATTATAAAACCAAGGGTGTTGTTCATCCTATACATGAAAATCAAAATTATAAGGATATTAGGAACAATAGGTTTCCTTCAAAACACTGAGTTAGGTATCAGAGAAGAGTGGGATAATCTGTACGAAGGAGTTTCTATGATTAGATTGAAAGACATGTAACTACCTTAGTGGTGTTATATATATACTTAATACACAAAATATGGTACAACTGGACACCAAAGATAGAATGCAACATACGAAAAACAGGAAAAGCATTGCAAAGGTGATAATGAGATAAAGGGAGAACAATCTAAGAGGAAGAATAAGTGGACATCAACAGTTAACAACATAACCGAGAAAAAGTAATTCGAGTTAATGAATTTTCTTCTAGTTCTACGAAGAATGTATAGTAAAACTTAAGCAGAATCCTCACCAGCATATATTTTGAGCCATGTTTGATGATGTACCTAATGCCTTGGTCGAGGGTTGGGAGTCAGCTTTCCCTCTCGAAGTACTCTCACATGACCACGCGTAAAGAGCCAATGCCAGGGAAGTCCTACTCACTGCCGTCTTACGGTGGGAGTGTTGTTTACGAAATTGAGAGGACGCAAGGCGAATGTCCAGCGCTTTAACCGGATTGATGGACACGGAGTGTGTCCACCTAGGGAACTTTTGTTTATTTTATTTATTTGAACACATAAATATCGGTATAAAGGGGCACCGAATACATATGCGCCACACAGTTCACGTGATTTTTGTGTGGGCTATGATACTGCCCGGGTGCCCAGACCGAAGATGGTTGTTTAGGGAGCGACACCTGGAGCCGTCAACCTGAATGTCTGACCCACAAGGTAGTGGAGCAACGTCAGATGTAGCCCCATGGTAGCCGGTGACCAACAATAGGTTCATATGCCATTTGTTCCCTCAGGATACTGGAGCCCATGTGCACCATTGCTTTGGAATCAGGGTTTTTCAACTCCCCTAAATAGATACTCCGAATTCAAACCAACGTAGCACATGGGCTCCAGGATCCTGAAAAAAACAAATAACGTATGAACCTGTTGTTGGTCGCTGGCTATCATGGGACTGCATCTCCTGACGTTGCACCGCTACCTTGTGGGTCAGACATTCAGGTTGACGGCTCCCTAAAAAATCGCCTGCTTCAATCTAGACACCCGGGCCCGCACACAAATTGACTTGTCTGGCGCAAACGTGTTCAAATGAATCAATAAACGTAACAAGCGGATGAGTTGCACTATTTCTAGAATCACAACCAAGAAGTCACGATGGACCAACAGACGCCAGTTCTGCACAACTTTCATACCACGGCACCATGTCACACAACGACCACCTCTCTGATTTTTCAAACAACTCCCAGGGTCGGCAAATGTAGAATTTGCTGGGACGACATTGATAGTTTATGTCCAATCCACCGAAGTCGGTGTTTTGAGATGGTAAAGCCAACTAAATTATCGTCACTGTGCTCGAATACACGTTGCTAAACTTCTGCATCACAACCTTGGCATTGGCACTGGATCCTTTGGGGATGATGGCAATTGAATAGAGCCGTCGAAAACTCTTAACCTAGAGGTCAAGTAAAAAAATGGTTCCACTCACGAGTTATAAACACAACCTTATATAGCCAGATATCACAACATCACCAAAGAGGGTCTAGATAGTTATAAGCCGCTTTCGATTTGATTATACGTTGATTGATCTAATCTTCTACGCCGCCATTAAAAAAAATAACAAACTAAATACACATGTTTTCGAAAACTTCTAATGGCTTGCCACCAAGAGTGGGTGCTGGCACAAGTTCCAATCAGTCTTGTAAAAGTACTTTCCATTTAGGTGAATAGTACGCGCGACATGGATACCCGAAAGACTAAATGTGATTTGTATGGATGTGTATCATCGCACAACGAGACAAAATCATCCACATACCCGAGGCAGAAAAGTCATTCTTCAAGTAATAAATCAACGCCGCCATCATCGCAATCTAATTCCAACGGAGTTGTTTCTAGAACGTCAACGACGGTAAAGCTGAATAAAGACGGTGAGGTTAGGTTATCTTATCTGACTCCACTGCCAACGTGGAACAATGGAGAGAGGTGGTTTCATGTCCTCATTCTGTCTGAAATTTCTGTGAACAGACCCTTTAAGATGTTAATAAACTTCTCAAGTAAACCCTTCAAAGGAAAATCTCAGCGCACAGTCCAATAAGCATGGTGGTGCTCTAACATTTAGTGGAGGATGAAGATATGACCAGTGTATACACGACCTGGTGACTTGCAGCGTCTCAGAAGTAAGAGTTACTTGCCGACATCCGCATCGTTAAATGAATCAAACGTCACCGACTATGGAGGACAGAACAATGTGGTTGACCTTACTGGGGCAACAGATCATTTAGACTGTCACTCGAAGAACGATATCCATCGTCCGCGAAGTAGTTGTATCTTAATAATTAGCGCTTCATCAACCACATAAATCTTTTACCTCACAGCAGACTTTTAGCTGCCAGCGTTTATGGTGCGTCGAAACATCTCCCAGAAATTACCAGATACAGCTGATGTTTCCAACTAGGAATCATTTAAGCCTAAACTCGACTTAACCAGATTATGATTAATTGACGCTCGTATGGATGTGTACAAAACTGTCGCTCCTTGTGGAGCACTTATTTGAACTCTGATCATCCCCTAATTCGTGAAGTCTATCCTACGTTTCAGTAGCCAAGAAATCGTTCTAAATGGATTGATTTAGACGAATTGACTACAGCTTCCATTGCAGCCAGAGTGAACTAGGTTCAAGGCTAGCTACCGGTCCACCGAAAATCGTAAATGATAATCAACTGTATTTGCATAACGTCATGTCAGGTAAAGTCGCTTGAGGGTTTGAGAAACATTCTAACTATAAGCATTGAGTTCCTGCAGACCCCCTAAAACTCCTTTGAAGCACTCCGATCTACTCCAGGAGTTTGACGATAAACGTAGGTTCTTACGTAAAAAATCTGAGGACCGAGAAACCTAGTAGTCGGAGTTTGATTCCTAGTTGGAAACCGCAGCTGTATCTGGTAACTGCTGGAAGATGCTTCAACGCATCCGAATCACTACCATGATGTGAAATAAAAGCACATTAGTCGAGAAAAAGATGCTTGGTCGAGTCTATCAGCATGGAAAAACGTTAAATCGACGCAGCGCTTCTCCCAGAAGAATAAGATTCAATAAGACCAGGCTACTGGAGAATGTAATGCTCAACAAAAATAACAAAAACAATCTTGTAAACTATTCCAGAACAAATAGAGCAATCCAAAGCCGATTTGATGGCCAAAATTGAGAATTGTTTATGAGTCTCAAACTAAGACAAGACACCTTTTTATCACATGATGGTTCTCCAGACAATACCAACTTATCACGAAAACACATTTGGAAGTATACAAAATCATCAAAAACAAAAATAAGTCATATGTAGTGTAACATGGAAGTAGCTCAGTGACCAAAAACAATAGTCCTGAAGTCATAGTCCCACAATAATTATGGGCTAGCTAGCAACTAGTTTTGAAAACGGAATTTGTGAGGTTTTGGTGATAAACTATGACATATGGAGTTGAATAATCTGACAATATAACGGGTTAACACTGAACGGAAGATGGACTGAAACAAGAAATGGGAACAAACGGATATCGATTCTGCAGCTCAATAGTATTGTACTCACTGTGACATGGAGAACCTGAGGCTTGTGAGTGCACCGCTGAATACCAAGTTAGAGAATGAACATCCAGACAGGTATTCCAGAACCAGCGACAGTATTCTGCCGAGCCTCTCCAATGATGACTGATCGCAATATGGTCTGTTTGAGTTCGATGGTTTGGTGCAGGGGGTCGCCATGTTTGATGATGTCTCTCCTTATGTTTAAAAAGTTAGTGCTTGCTAAAAATAAACGATCTTCTGAGCACAGTTGCAGTAGACGGTCACCACTATCTGTCCGCTGAGCCGACATACTAAAATACCCACCTAAATGTCGTTTTTTGGCTTAAGCTACCTACTTGGGCATTGAAGTCACCTGCTACGTATCCTATGTCTGTACGTTTAGCTTTCTGAAGAAGTTCAGAAAACTTTCTGTAAAAGTCATCTTACATTTCGTCCGGGTTACAGTCAGTGGGAGCGTAGGCAGAAACAACGAAAAGGTAACGACGTGTGTCCCTATCTTTCCAAGTTCTTACGGAGCCGTTTGGCATGGTAAGACCTTGAGGAACGACTGTTCCAGTCAGTATAGCTCGATTGGTTCATCACGATGGGAAAGCCTGACCACCACGTCAAGGTAGCAACAAAGGCCGGTATAAAAAAAGAAATAAAACTTAAAATCAGTGAATGTATAACTATTAAATAAAGTGTAAGGTTATGAATAAATTAGTGACAGTATGAAAGCATATGACTTCTAAAGTTAATTTGTGATCAATCACCTGACTTGCATCTGAGGATGGATCGTGTTCTGAAGTATCACTCAAGGGTTGTTCGACTTCCATAGCTTCTTCATATTCCAGTGCATGCAGGCCCGCATTACGGTTAATAGCATTTGGGTTTGCCTGGGGAGTATTAGGACTCAATTTCCCTTGTTTGTGAGACATTCAAGTGGTCCTTGAAAAGCACCAACAGTGAACTGAAATAATCTGAAAATGAAAGTAACATCAGTCTCTAAATATTTAGTATTCAATAGAAACCAGACTTGATACTTTCAAAACATCAATAAATTAACATAGACCACTACTAAACCAATGAGTCAGCGACAAACATCTCGGAAAATATGGGGAATCGAGAGAGACAATGACAGTAATACGAGATTTAGTGGGATATAAAATCAGTACTATGATCCAACCACGCCAATGTCTTCGCACATTTAAACACAAAACTTGATATACGGTTATGCCAGGTGCTCACTGACAGGCAGTCTATGGTTTTGATTGTGCTACAGTGAATTTGCAACGAGATTTTGTCTGTCGTTAGATTAACAGTCCTAATGTATGTGCTCAGATAGAATGACCAACGTCTGCAAACTAATTCCCCAGACTGGTAATTAAATGAAATTTTGTGTTTAGAAAACTACTCCAGGTGCTCTCAGATGACCAACAGACTAAAAACCAAGGAGAAAAGAGCTATGAGCTAAGGTCTTAACTTGATAGATAGCGTCAGACTGAAGTTTCTGTATGATAAAAAATTCGATTTATATATATATATATATATATATATATATATATATATATATATATATATATATCCATTTACTTTCACATTTAGAAATATTTCCATACATTCTTTTTGTTGAATGTCTCGCGTGCCAAAATTCATGACTCCTGTTGGGGTCCATTTGCTTTATTCTGGGAAGAGGTAGACCACTAATACGCTGTACAAGATTCCATGTTATATCTGAACCCAACAAAAAATCTCATGATCTGATAACCTGATGTGTGGGTGAGAGTGATAATGACTGGTTGTTTGCTTAATCAGGCTTGTAGATAGTCTGACAGGTGTTAGATGAGTTATATAATCTCCTATCCTTGCTATTATTATTGATTGTTGACGGATTGTTGTTGTTTTTTGGTGTGGAAATATATTTACGTTCTAGTCAGGCTAATCACGTTCTTGATCTGAGTGGTGTTGAAGTCCTGTAGAATAGACACTGGGAGGGAATCTAATGTAGGTATTCGTCTAGAGCAAATTAACGTCCCATTCGTGTGGACGTGGAAGACCGAGCGTTATAGCATAACCATTGAAGTCACTGCCTAGTAGTAGATCCCTAAAAACTAATACCGCTGAAATACGGTGCATTACTAATTGTTTTTGTAATGTACGGTCTAGGTAAACACTACCAGGATTTCCGACGCAACTAGTGTCAAATAAACATCTATAGCAGGTATATGATAACCTTTTAAATCCCTAACGTGGGTGCGAAGACTGAGAGGTAACCGAGTGCAACACATACACAAGCCTTTTAAAGACATATTGAGGGACAACTAGGAATAAGTTGGATTTGAATCATAATGAATGGTTTTGATGTCAAAGATTGGTGTCGTCACCAATAAGTATACAGCACTACCCGAACTTAATATTTATTAGTTTATCATCTTCAGCGGGGATCTTTTTTCAACTATGCCACATATTTTTTAAATTTGCTTTCGTCAAGTCACCATTGAGAACGTATGGTAGATTCACTCACAAAAATACTATAAAATGACTTATTAAATGAGTTCTTGCCACTTTGGGTAGCAGTGCAAGCATGTTTAGGATGCTATTCTCTCCTGAAATGAAAATTGTTGCCTCAGAACTGGCCTGCGTTAGCGCACGAATTAATAAGAGTGAAGTAGCTGGGTGTACCAACCTTATCGCTTATCTTGGGAGTCTCATCAGTCATGATGGGATGGTGTCTGATGAAACCTTGACATAGATTTGAAAGTCTCAAGTGGTTTTCCCGACCGAGTCACTTGTGATGTGTGCAAAATATCCCCCAACCAACCAAAGGACGGGCTTACTGCTCAGCACTTTACTTCGTTCTACTTCATGATCGTGAAACATGGCCATTAAAAATAAAAGATATTTCTAGGTGACTAGCATTCGACCATAAGTGTATTTGAAGCGCTGCTCGTCTACTTTGAGACCACTGAGTAAATGATGTCTAAATCAGAGATAGTGTGCTAGGTGACGACAGCCTATCAGCTGAAGAGGAAGTAAATCAACTGAGGTGGTTGGGACACGTGTTATGTATGCCCAACCACTCACTACCTACCTCGAAGGACGGTGTCTTGCGTAGTAGGTTGGGAAAAAGCTATGGGGCCATACTAGCATTTTGTATAGTTAACTAAGATCAGTGTTGCTACTATTGTTGCCATAAGATGATCTACATATAGGATACGATAACCAGAAACTTAATTTACTTATGGTTTATCGAGATTTTATATTCTGGAATTCACCCGAAGAGTAAGCATTAATATTGGTAGTTTCAGCGTGGAATTTTGTAGTAAAAATGTCACAATGGTAGCTATGAGGTGCACCACTTGCCTTAATGTGTCATAACCACAGGCTTCATCACCATTTAAAGCTAATAATCATTTAGCCTTTTGTTTTAACTAGAGGATGTTTCAAATATTAAGCTAATCAAAAAGTATGGTAAGAAACCATCTTACGAAACCTAACAGCGGGACGGTATGCTAGCAGCTGAATAATTTTGAATTTAAGCGTGAGACCGAAGAACTTTAGTGCAGGTGCCCCAAAGTACAACTAAGCCACACTATGACCAGAGGCCCAGTACAGAAGTCTATACTCGTCAAATGAAGGTTTACCAACTCGTGATGAGAATTTGGTATTAGGAATCATCGGCGAGACTACAATTTACGGACGAATTAGTCAGATATAAGGTAACAGGTCTAGGATTTAGTCGCAAAAGTCACTCATCCATTTGGTTAGATAGTATTTTGGTATTATCGTTGTCAGTTCGTGATGAAAACCCTAAATATAACTTAACCTAAACCACCGACTGCGGCTCCTAATCCTAATTTCACGCACCGGTTTAAAACCCTCACTTAGTCCTAGTTATTAGGTGGACACTCAAGGTCAACTTAGCGTCGCTCAAAGGTCGTCCATGAATTGTAGTCCCACCAAATCATCTTATTGAAGTAGGAGAAAAGTTCTAACGTTAATTGTTATTAGTGGACTTCTTATGACTTACATTTATATTCAGATTCTACCTCAATCTCGCCGTTATTTGAACGTTTTCCTGACTTGTTGCTACTCTATGTAATTAGATAACGGTAAGCAACGATCACTATACCAAGCCCGTAATGTTGAATCCCCGTTTTGTTATAGTAGCAGAAATAGGTTAAGCACTTTGTGGGGATTTGTAACATAACAACAATCCAGTAACTGAATGGGAAAACCCATAATCGGATAAGTCGACACCTTGCATGAAGTTTATTTTTATTTTATTTTAGCACATAGATATTGGTACAAGGAGGCACCAAATACATATGCGCCACACAGATATCAATTGATATGTGTGAGGGCTGTGATACTGCCCGGGTGCCCAAACCGAAGCAGGTGGTTTTCTTAGAGGGCCACACCTTGTATGAAGATCCGATTAAGAACGTCAATATCCTGAGACGTTGCAGATCTTTCTGCAAGAGGCAGGAGTCTGGTGCATATATCCACCACAGGAATGGCATAAACGGTCGTTGAAATAATTCATAATATTTCATACGCTTACTAGAAATTCAAGTGGTATTATCTATAATGGTATTTTAAGAGTACAACGATGAAACGTGTCCATCAGTATAAATAAAAAGTCTTCAATCGGAAAGCACGATATTCTAAAACCTATGAGTGAATCCGTAGGCAAAACATTAAGGAGTACCAGCTTTATATCCATTTAAAATCAAGCTGTAACTAAAGCCTTAGCTAATATGCCCGAATAGTGTTTGAAGCAAAACCAAAACCTTATATGGACATAATACGAAACCATCCAAACGCATATGACAAAAAGTAAACGAACCTTATTCTACAAATTATCAAGAAACAACGGGATTTCCACGAAGCCCAAGATTATTAGACCACGCGCCTAACGCTGCAGCATCGCCTAACTTAACAAAATTGAGGCGGTCCAATATGCTACTTCATTGTCAAATAATTTTAATTATTATTTGTAAATGGTATTAAGTTAATATAATAAATTCTACATCAAAATAGATCACTCTTTGAGTGATTGGCACTAAATTGACTTTAATTATAAGTGATCACAAGTGTTAGAAACATATGGGCAAAAACTCTATGGTGGTAAGTAAATCCTTAACATAAATAGTTCTGTAAGTCTTCAACATTGATGCCGACGTCGGTAGCTCTATTGAACAATTCTTAACTTCTGAGTTCGTTAAGCTCAAATGCTACTACTGATTCGCCTCACTCGGAACGGAACGAAGTATCAAGGATTCAGAGACTTGATAGGCTATTCTGGTCCGTTGCCCCTGACTCAGCTAACTCGATCAAGAAGTCTTGGTAAGAAGTAGAAAGTGTCATAATTTTTTAAACATTCATCAATAAGTTCGTCAATCAACTGCCATTCAAACATTTAAACATTTAATCGATAAGTTCGTCAATTGGCTACCATTCAAGTATTTAAACATTTAATCGATGAGTTAATTGATAAGATAAAATTACAAAATGTAAGTTTCGGGGAATCTATCGTCTTCTACATTAACTAGGGACGCTACTCTAAGCATCCCCACCAGGTCACCGTTTGGTACACCATGCAAAGCACCCTTCACAGAAACAGCTTGGTGCATACATTTCTCGGCAATATAAATCATCTTCAAAATCTGTCCTCAAACGCCTTCATTCCTGATTACTGACTCTACCGTCTTTAGGACCTTCGGTTGTAACGTTGATACAAAAAAATTTCAACCAATCTGAAGCTATGAAAAATTACTTAGACAACAATGAATGTCATATCCAATATTTAGTGAATTTAGTCAGACTGTAATTTATGGATGATCTTCGAGCTATGCTATAGTGACCTTTACAGTTTCTTCCCACTCACTATGGTTAGATGAATGTTATAAACTGGTAAAAGCAATTAGAATTAAGA